CCTCGGCAAGTTTTCAGGCGTGCAGCATATTTTGTGGGACACCGGATTGCGAAGTTTCGGCACAACGCCCCTGCACCCACGACCGGTGTGTGGTATCGTGGTGGTGTACGTGGGCACACAGATTCGTCATGCGACCCTTTGTCACGGCGCTGGCGCCCCAATCGCAGCCGTGACGCGTCGGGTGTAATGCGCGCGTCGGCAAGCACTCCGACTGCAAACCAGCATAAGCACGTGTAGGACACGCCCGTGAAAGCGAACCGACGATCACGTCGATGACAATTGCCTTGTTCCTTGAAAGACGCTTCAGGTCATGGTCCCGTCAAGGCCAGGCCTCCATGCACTGCACTATTACTGGGCCTTGCCGCAGTACACGCCCTCGTCAGAGGTCCGTGCGACCCCATCCGTCAGCACGGACCTTAGCGCCCAACCAGGGCCGCGCGCGCCGTCGCCGTACTCAAGGCGCTCCATGCATCAGCTCAAGGATAGGTGCCTCGCTGAGGAGATAAGGCACTCAAGAGGGTCGCGGCGGGAGTCCGGCGGCGCGGTCGTGTTACCAAGACCCGCCCACCATGGCTTTCTGACGATCGCAGGCCAATCCATCCGTAACCCAGCGTGAGCGACCCACCCGGCAGGCTTTTTAGCCCGCGCAGATGATGAAGCTTTATTTGCTCACCGAATCGGCTGCCCCGCATACGGAAGATTCTGACGCATAGTTCTTGCGAAACGGCACTCGAAACAAGATGTCAGCAGTGGCGCAGACGATAGGTGCCAAAATCACGAGGAGCCATGCAGCCTTCGAGTGGGAGTTGCTGGCAACACTACGAGCCCGGAAATCCCGGAGGTCAAAGGATTTTCTCGTCACATAATCCTAGACTATCGTTGGGAATTTCAGAAAGACACGTTGTGCGATAAGTTCCTTAGGTGGCCGGAACAAATACCATCCACCCTCCCTCCACTCCCTGCTCCAGCGAATGCGGCTCGCCTTGATGGGATGTTTGGGTAAGTACGTGCAATGTTATCAAGTCCGGGTATTATGTGTAAAGTTCGTGTGGATTCGATATGCCTTCCATGTCATAACGTCTGGGGTTGACTGCCGGATGGAAGTCATGAGTACCCTCATAGCACCAGGTGTACCCAGGAAAGTTTTGACAGGTGATTCGAATCCATATCGCAGTTAAAATAATTCGGTCCTTGTGTTCTCCCCACACACCTATACAAAAGACAACACGTGTCCTATAGAGGCCTATATTTCCCGTCTACCACAAGTTTGGTTCCGCTGCGACCACTGCTACAGGTAGTGCCAATGAGCTGCGATGATGACAAAGACCACTGCTACAGGTAGTGCCAATGAGCTGCGATGATGATAAAGACCACTGCTATAGGTAGTGCCAATGAGCTGCGATGATGATAAAGAGGTGCACAGCCCTCTATTCATCTCCACGTCGATGCAAATCGTCAGCCACATGACATGGTGGCGTCTCCCTCTTCTCATTTTCCCAGATCGATGGCGTAACGTCTGTATGCCTAGCCCGCTTTCAGCCCTGTCGCCTTTTGTCCACCCCGGGCTGTGAACCAGCCTAGGCTCAGATCACTCGCAACTGCGCACCAGCAGGGGAGGAGGCGGCGCAGTATTGCGACATCGCGGCGCGACAATGGCTTAACGTGATAAAAGCTTGATGCAGTGACTGGGCGATCAGTGCGCTGGCAGTCACCACGCAAAACAAATCAAGCAACGCAGACCGGCTGCGGCGGCGAACTAACTGGGCGATCAGTGGGCTGCCCAGTCACCATGCAAAACAAATCAAGCAACGCAGACCGGCTGCAGCGGCGTGCTAATTGGGGAGGACACCAGAAACGTGAAACATAATATAACGATGGTGTTGACCCCACCGATTTGGTTTATGGTGGCCCACGGTCTATCGTAGCAGGCCTTCATGGTTCGTTGCAACGGCGATGTTCAATGAGCTATTTAAGGGAGCTGTCCTAGACTGGCTTGTCTATAAACGTTTCAGTTGCGTCAAAAAGCGCATGCGTCTTGTCAGGTTTGTGTTTACGTTATTGTAAAGCGTGGTGCCGGGCGGTGTCTGGAGAGACCTGATTGAGCCCAGAATCGTAACTGTAATATTCCCCCAGGACCTGGAATCACACCCTGGTATATCCCCATTCGAATACTCCCATTCAGTTCGTGACGAAAGCGCTTACTTACTTATTTACTATAATCAGATTTTTTTACTACTAATTTTTTTAAACTACTATACTACTACTACTTTTAACTACTTTTAACCACTAATAATTGTTCAACTACTACAACTAATTTACTTACTTACTTACTATGAGGACAGGTTGAAAAGTCCAGATTTGCCAACAACAGCGATTTATCGGAAAAAGCTTTAACTGATAATACATTGAACAGCTTAAGTCATACGCAGGCAGTGCAATTTCAAGCACCACGAAGCATAGCTGTTTTTTAAAGATGTGCTTCATTATCTAAGTCCAAGCTGGCGTAGCCCTCTTTCCATACTGCCAAACGACGAAAATGAAAGCCCAAATTTACGCAAACCGTTTCAGCCGATGCAAGAGAATTCGTCCCAAGCTGGCTTAGCCTCCTTCTGATATTGCCAAACTGTTAAACTGGCAGAAGCTCAAATTTATGCAAAACTTTTCAACAGATGTAAGCGAATTCGCATACTAGTGCCGGCGTAATCATCCTTTCGCCTCCTCCACCTCGCTTGCATCCCTGATCAGCCATCGCCTCGGCGTTCCACAGAAACAGAACGTCCTACTGGCTGCGATATCAGGACGAGTCAAGTAGACCTGAGCTCACTGGCTATGGCTCACACCACTCTTTGTGCTTCCCTCAGAAGCGACTCGTGGTTTTCTTTTCCGTTTTGATTGACATGGTTTACTGGTTTAACTTTGTGCCAGTCAGGGGGTCGGTCATATGGTAAAACGGACTGTGGTCCCTATGAAGACCTTATCACATTCATTTACTGATGCTGATCCCGAATGATTCTCATTTCAGATGCATCGGTCAGTAAACATATTGCATTTTTCAACCTGATAGCTTCTGGTCAGATCACGATAGGTACGAACAGTACATGTGACGGGAGAGTGAAAGAACCCAGTTGGCGGTCCTCTGACTTTGACCTGACCCGTCATGGACCTGGCCTTTATTTACCCCCACCGTGCATTTTAGACGCGGAAGAAAACGGTGTTTCGTTCCGTATAGGTTTCAGAGATGTATGAATATGAACAGGGGTTTCACCAGCCGGGCACCGAGATCAGGTGATCGTGAGGACCAGAGATGCTTCTGCGTCACCTCTGATGTTATCAGTAGTGTAAAACGTGTCAACATGGTGCTGCCTGGACGAGAATGACCAGGGCTATCCAGCTCCATTGTCATCTTAAGTCATCTTTTCCGATCATGACGTCCTGTGCCACAGGCGGGTAAAGATCCCGGAGCCTGCGACTGGCGAGATGATGCAGACGTTGCCGAGCCATAGGAGGTGAAAAGGTCTAATGAAGGGAAGAGGCTGCTGCCTCTTTGACCCGGTAAATGCCATCAACATGCTTACGTTTTGATACTCTGCCCACAGCGGGCGTCTAAACGTTGGGAGTTACAAGCCCTTGAAAATTTCTGACACCGAAATTAAGCTTTTAAATCCAGTCTTACAACCCATAGCAGGTCGAAACCAAAGCATGGGCATCTTTACCGCATCCATTATCAAAAGAACACCTAACACCACGTAAGACAGAATGACGCAAATCGATATGCATTGTCATCGGCACAACTGATGTGGTTGTAAACCTGCTTGTACATCGATGGAGTCTGTGATTATCTGCCAGTTCGAAGCGGCGTCGGTCACGAGCATTTTAGGAACTATCGTTACGGATGGTCGAAGGACGCCAGCGCCCCAAGAGTTCCCTTCATTTGCCGTGACCTTGAACGGCCCTGCGTGTTGCCGTACCGAACGGATGTCCATCGACCTGCCCATCGGCAAGAGTCGAATGGGCGAATGAGCGATCTAGATGGGTTACCTGAATTAGAGCTATTTCAACCAGAACGGGGTTACATTTAAGCCATTTCAGGGTTGTGGGATGAAGGAGAATGGATAACGGTGGGACAGACGTACAGGCGCCTGGGGCGCCAACCGCCGACCTCAGCCCGCGGGGTGTGCGATCGTGGTGTGCGTGTTAGGGATCTAGAATGTGGTCGCGTGTAGCCTGTTTCTGGCGCACCGGGTGAAGAGCGCTAAGGCTTGTTACTCTGAACGATGCCACTCGTTGAACGGTGCGTGACTATCTCCATGTGAACAGCAGTACCGTCAGGATTTGCACCAGTTCAGTGAATACAACCGCTGTCAAGTGCAAGTTCCTCGGTGGGAACACGGATCTAAAGAATTCAAGAACGTGATTTCGTTGCGCTACATCACATACAACTACACCAGTTATACCCTTTTCACTGGCAGTGAGGTAGCACCCACAGGTTTGGATGGCAGCAGGTCAATGGCAACATTGTCCTTTCGTTTTAAAATCGTCCGACGTCATCATCAACTAGGAAAACAAGTCTGCAGCAGAAAACAGTGTTCAGAGGCGTAATTTTCCCATAATATTTTTCCACTTGTTTATGGTAATGCATTTCTGTGTCCCGTGTGAGAACCTTCAGAACAATGTCACCAGTGGCGGTTTGGGTGGCATTTCACTGGCGGTCTCTGGTCATCAATGGCGGCCAGCAGTCAGCCAGCCAGCCGCTGGCGGCATTTCGTTCAATTATAATCGATCCAGGGCATTACTTAGCATGATAATTGGGTTTTAATGACGCATCAGACGGCTCAGGTCACCAAGGGTCATCAAATATTTTACGTCGCTCTCCGTTGGAGCTATGAAAGTAGTCATTAACCCGTACCGAGCCTGTTAATACAGCAAGTATGGACGACGAAGATCCAGCAGCGGTCTGCATGTGCGCAGACATTGCTAGGTGCCAGTAGCGGCGTACGTACCGAAGATGGGGTCGCGTCGGCAGCAGAGGCCGGACGAGCCGTCGCCGAGGTCACAGACGGCGGCCGTCGTCTGTGGACTGGTGCCAGACACAACGCCAGAGCAGAAGATGAGCGGCGAGCACTCGCCGCTGCTGCACTGGGCGGCCGGGGCTGTCTCTGAAACCGGCCGCCGCTCTAGGGTATCCACCTCTACCGCTGGGACACGCCCCTGCTGCCGAGGCCTTCTACCTCTACAGGGGCTCCACAGCCCGGACGCGCCTCTACCGCCAGCCAAACGACTCTACAACTCACACAAGCCTCTACAACTGTGACATGTCCCTGCACGTTTCTGCAGCACAGACGAGAGATTGGGTCACACTGTCGCGACTAACGACGCGCTGAGGCCTCTACAGCAAAGACACGCTTTTACAGCCGAGGTACGCCTCCACAACTCAGACAAGCTCTTACAGTCGAGACAGGCAGGCGCGGTTGAGACGTGCCTGTGCGACTCGGACACGCTGAGGCACTCCTTAACAACCAGGATACACCTCTACGGGAGGGGGGCAGGCTCAACAGCCGACACACAGCTACAGCCCGGAGACGTCTGGCACGCCGGGAAAAACATTCACAGCTAAAGCACCTCCTCGCAGTTGGGGCCGACCTCCACAGCACGAACATGACTGCGAGGCTGAGAACGGCACCTGTAGGTTACACACGACAAACACAGACCTGGCTCCAAACCGCCGGTGGCCCAACTACGCATAGTTCAGCTGCCTTTGTCAGTCTGATAGCACAGGGATTTCGGCACGCGGTAAAACGAACGGGTTCATATTATAAGGGGGAGAAACAAGAGCTTCGAGAAATGAGCACTGCTCTACAGGTTGACATCAACACTGCAAAGAAGCGTGTTAAACCGCCGGTCCACGGCAAAAGAAACAAACGTGACCTTCACTGCTCATTGACAGCAGCCTTGGAGAAAGCCTAGTACCGCATCACTGGTCGACCCCACGACGAGCGGCCGACTTGGTGCTCACGTCCATGGAGCACAGCGAACTTCGGGGCAGCGGGCCCCGTACAACTGGTTCAAGCCAACACGGGGAAGAAGAAATAAATAGGCAGGTCAATCAGAGCTCATGCCACTAAACCGGCTGGCACCAACACAGCGAAAACAACACCGACAGTGGGCGTTTAAATTGTTAGAACATTCAGCGGGAGTTACACCAGCATCAATTGAAACGGAAACAGCAGAAGCTCACGGGAAACCTGTTGTATGCACGGCGGCATTCGACGAAGTGCGGTGTATGCAGCCGCTTATTCCGAAATGCTTTCTGCCAGTTATAAAAGACATTTGTGGCACCGATAGGAAGCTGCATTGCTAGAAATGCGATCAGGAGCCATTTCCATTTTCGGAAGATGGTGAATGGTGCCATTTCGGGCGCCTCGGATAATGTCTGTTCCTGAAAATGATTGGGGGTACAAAGATGGCGCAGAGCTGAAATATCATCAAAAATGGTTTTGATAACAACCCTAAATTCTATCGTAGAATCGGCAAAACAAATAACAGCATAAGCCGCCATTTACACGGTGCTTAAATGCCGGGGTGTAGTTCCCAAAGTTGTTAGGGGGGCTCTAGACCCCAACTTTGAAGAGAAAGCGTGCCAAATTCGAGAAGGAATCCGGTTCTGCCGTTTTTTTTTAGGTAAATTCAGCCATCTTTTCTGCTCAGCCCCCCCCCCCCCTCCGACTTATCGTGTAAACTACATTCCTACCAGGTACTGAAGAAAGCTGGAACGGTGGTTTGTACAGTGTGGGTTGCGAGCAGAGCTAGAAGGATGTCAGTATATATATACACAAGCATAAGCAATATATACAATATTCGTCATGGCATGCCCAGGTACAGAGAGGATAGAAAACGAAGGGACCGCTCGATTTTCAGCGCCAAGCTGTAACTGAGCTGTAATCAAGCTGTAACTGAGCTGCGATAACGCTGTAACTGAGCTGTGGTGTTTACATACATTTGATCAAATGCTGTGCGAAGCTACACGCTATTTCATGGCGTGTGTTGTTTGAACTACGTGCGTGCGTCTAGCAAATTTATTCCAAAATAGACGGTTTATTTAGAATTCCGTGAATTCATCAGTGGGTTGAAATAAATCATTCACAAACATGCCATACGTCTATTTCGCTGTCATCGACGACCGATAAATAATAAAGGTCAATTCATGTTGCTTATTAAAGATGCAATCTTCATCCGTTCTCCCCTGACAAGGCTTGAATCTCCAAAGTCAGAGGCGACCGGACAAACCCTCCCGCCCTGGGTATTTATCCGTTCAGCAGACGCGTTTGTGGAGACAGGTATCAAGATTGGAGAGGCGGTGCTTGTTATTTCCTTACAGACATAGCAATGTGATTATGTGATGAACATTGCACTGCTTTAGTCAGGGCCTTTTCCGGTTTATTCAGCGTTATGCTCGCTGTGTGTCCGAACGTCAGCATGACAGTAGGTTAATGAGGCGGTAACTGGCCGTCTGACAGCGCAGCTTCTGACGGCGTGGCAATTTTGGCGCGTCATTCAGCCATGTCTGGCACATGACCATGACCGCGTTAATCATGGACCATGTGGTTCAGTCACACAATTGTGGTTAAGCTTTCATAGTCGTGTTATACCACGCCCATCCTGCGAGTCAGTCTTACACCCAAGGGAAGATAAAATCCCCATTGAAATTGAGTAGCCTGCATCGTGGGGTGAAAATCGAGCGGGGGACAGGACAGAAGAAGAAGCAAACTTACTTGGTACACCATAACTATCCTGCGGAGCTGCTGGGAGGTAGGCCACCGACGGTTGGTGTGCTATCTGTACACCGTAGCTAACTGCCGGCTGCTGGTAGCTGCTGGGCGGCTGGTAGCTCGCCGGCTGCTGATAGCTCTCGGGCGGTGAATAGCTCTCAGGCTGCGAATAGCTCACAGGCGACTGATAAGCCCCGGGCTGCTGATAAGTCGTACGTGGCACATCGCCGAAGCCCTTCCATGCGTAGTCGAGGTACGGGTTAGAGTTGGTGCTAAAGCCGTACGCGGCTCCCAGGTTGTAGGTGCCGTGGGATACGGAATAGGGCGTACCTCGCCCGCTGGACAGGCCGCCAGCGTGTCCCGGGAAGACTATCTGTCGCTTTTGCCGCTCCAGCTCTGCCCCGGCCAGGCCGATGAGCACCACCTGTCGGCACACGCCCACTCAGGTCAGATCAACTCGGCCAGGTCAGGTCAAGGGAGACACAATCACGCACACGCGCACAGAAAAGGGCCGATGCTGGAGGACCTCGCTACACCACACTGCAGGACAGTTACTGGGCTGTACCAATGACTGCGAAGGGCTACTACGAGTTTCTGTCGCTGGGGTTGGCTTAGTTACCGCCGCCTCTATATCTGGAAACAATGCACTGACTGTGCCGACTCTGATGTGAGTAAGCGGTCTAACGTGCGTGAGTGACAGTATAACTGTTCTCATGGACGGTTTTTACTGAGAGAAGATAGACTGTGCTGAGCTAGGTTTGCATATAAAGTCTCGATAAAGGCCAGTTAAAACTTTCACAATGTACGTGTAAAACTTTCACGTGACGATGATTGTAAATCGGGACCAGATGATTGAAAATCTGAGGGGAGGGTACAAACTAAAAGGGTGCTTGCGATCGGTACCCACACAGTACATGAGAGTTATTTCTAGTTTGGGGCCATATGAAGTCAGATGGCGACAAAGTTCTAATTTTAGCTTTAATTGGTTTAATACGCGTTTGTAAGTCACGTTTATGCAGTACTATAAGACCTTGCCGACACTCTTACGCCTGCTGGACATCATGCTAATGGTCCAGAACGATCCAGTTGGGTTGCTCTCAGCGACATTACCAGGGTTCGGGCTAAGGGCACAAACATTAGGCTGAGAGGCGCAAAAATATACAAAGCTGGACAACATCCACTCCGCGGCCTCCCCCTCCTCTTCTGGCGACGCCTATATGGATCTTTTCGTAGGCCATTCACTTTTGGACCCCCGAACCACAGTTAACTGTTCGGTCGCGGAATGTGAGGTCCTGACCGGGACGAGCCAGGACGAGATGGGACGGGTGGAGACGAGCAGGGACAAGTCCGGAAAAATCGGGACGACCCGATGGTATGTCGGCGATTCCAAGTCCCACCAAATTATAAATATAGATTGATTTTATTGAGTGCGAAACTCCGACTTCAATGTGCATTGTCACTATTATTTGACCCACAGCACGGCGATACCGCATCTGGGCTGCCCGATGTCGGGCCCAGTCAGAAAAACTGGACGTGTGGAGCTCTCTGTTTGTATATATACTGATATATTTGGATATATATATATACATATATATATATATATATCCTGAATGAAAGCAACCATGACAATTTTTGACATATCTCTCGGCAAGAATATGTCCGATGGAAAAAGACAGAAGAACTGGTCTACAAGTATTTTTTCAAGCTCTACACGTCCAGTCAGAAAACTGCACTTGTGAAGCTCTCTGTTTGATTATATAAATATATATATATATATATATATATATATATATATATATATATCCTAAATGGAGACACTAACGACAAATTATAACATATCTCTCGGCAAAAATGCGTCCGATGGAAAAAGAAAGAGAAACATGACGTGGTCGCTAAAAAGTCGTTCTTTCTTTGACACAAAGTGGGATTTTAGATGTGAAGGATGCACAACATGATTTCAGACCGGGCCACATCTCGGCGACCCGACGTTGCGGCAATATGAGACCAACGTCGCTGGACAGAAGGGAGAAGGCGCGGTCGTGATGGCAGGATTGGTTGGATGCTGTGGGGCCGGCCACGTGGAGCATAATGAATCAGCTCGTTCAGTGGTGCTTCTAAGGGTGACGTCGGATCTCGTTGACTACAGCAGATGAAGACGTAAATGAATAGCACGGCGTAAGGCGAATGTACTGCTTGCAAATCACTCAGCACTCTCGTCACTGTACGGCCTACGACGATGCGCGAAGTGTCGCGGTACCGGTATTCGACGAGGAGTGCGCCAATGCCGCCATTCTTGGATATCGTTCGCATTCGGTCTCGGATTACAATCTCTGTGGCCTGCACCGAAAGAGGGAACAATGAAAACCGCATGGACGCGAAGTCCAGTGCTCAGGAGGAGAATTCATCCAAATAGTTCCGCTCTTCGGAATACTTTGCTGACGATCCCCAAAAACGCAACAAATCATACATTTACAGATGCTGTGGACAAAAATGATATCGCTGGCCAAGTCACTGCCATCCAATCTTCAGGCAATATGATTTGCAAATCAGATGCAGGCCGCCGCCCAGCTGCCTTATTTACATGATGGTGCCATTCGCGTCCGCTATCGCTTTGCTTGCTCCTTGCCACACGAGTCGTCTTGTTGGTTTTATGGATGCCTGAACTACCTGGTGACTTCGGACAAGCCATAAATCGATCACGTACATTGCTTCAATCCAAGATATATGCATAAAACAATGTGGAGTGCTGTGAGGTTATCATGAGTCTTACCGATCAGTGCTGCATCATTTGGAACGTCAGATGGTAAGCAACAGCGTTATGTTTGCACATGAATGTTGTGCAGGCCTATAGATCCGCGACATACGTGGGGGGAGGGGGAGCGTGGAAAATGGCATGACCTACCCTCAAGGTATGTCTTAAAAGCGTTTCTCATCGCGTTTGTTCAACTTCCTCTTCAAAGAAAGGTGGATGGAACTGAAAAGAAAACTACTCCCCTGGTATTGTGGCAATGACGCCTCAAACTGTAAAGACCAGCATAGACACACACATACACAGACACACATACACACATAAGAGACCAACAGGCGACTAGCATTCGCGATACAGCTCTGCCGATAGAATCTGTATTTTGTTATTGGTATAATTTGTGTGCGTGAACATTAGGGGTGCGGCCATGACTTTTGTAAAGGACGGGGTGGGGGCAGGAGCTAAGTGACTACGTGTCAAACCGATTTTTAGCTTTCTCTCGGGATCCATCTATGGTGAAAAAGGCGGGCCTGAGGATAAAAGGCGCACCTGCCCCCCTTGCATGGCTGTGCTCAAACTGAAGACCGCTTTAAGATGACATATAAACGAATGGAGGTAGATGACAATTAGGCAAAATAGGGCCCATGGTAGCAGTTACTTTTTCTACAAGGAAACCTTGAAAACATAGGCTCAGCAAAATGAAGGGTAAGGTTTGCCCCTCCCCCTAGACTTGCATCTTTTTCTGATACAGAGGACTCTTGGTCGAGATTAAATAAACGTGATAAGGTTTAAGACCTTCAAGTGTCGAGCTTCACCGAGACCCCTCCCCCCCCCCCCCCCCCATCCTCTCCCACCTCCGGTCCCGTCTGCGCCCCTGCTCAGCTGCCTGAAAGAAGCAGTGACCAGCAAAGTACAACATAGTATGCGTTGGCAGTTTGTATTGGGTGATGTATCCGCCTATAGCCGCCCACATTGGGTGATGTATCCGCCTATAGCCGCCCACAGCACGCTGGATGAACGCGTCTAAGGAAAATTCGAATTAAGGCCTGCACAACAGCAGCATGGTTTGAACCAAGGCCAGAATCAATGCGCCAAATCAAGAACCAATAGTGTGTTGGGCATTTACAACCATGAGGTTCTTTTGGATGATTGAAATATGCTCAGAATTTGCAGTATTGCCTGGTGCATTGTCTCCTTAAAAGATCCTGAATATGTCAGAGCTGGACAGTCTTGCATCACATGATGCACGCAAACCAATATGCTCGAGAGAAGGAAGTAGCCAGGAGATGAATAAAGGCACACGATAAAGTTCAGAGCCCGAGATATAAATGCAGTACCGGGAAAACTTAGCCCAGAACGGGTAGAGGTTTCCGGGATCGATACAATCTTTGGCGCAAGGCATGGACGTAAATCCAAAATACTTTGAAGGCTGAGTGGGTGATTGGTCAACCATTCCTCCAAAATGGTAAAAAAGACTTCCTGTCTGAACTCAGCCCGATTCGTTCATACAGCTCAAAGAGGCGACGTATGTCAGGGCTGGAGCCTCCAGCTGAATAGGAAACGACACCTTTGTCACGTGACATAAACGTCATCGGTCGTCAGCGGTGCGGAGGCAAAAATAAGGGTAAAACTGCGCCCACAGTTTCGCAGCAGCATTTGTTACGCCATTCAAACTGATTGGCCAGGCGCCGGCAAGCTAATGGTCGCCACCACACTCCAATTGAACTAGTGCTGTCTACGGCTTTAGCCAGATTATCGTGTTTAAAATTTAACAGCATGAATTACTAATTGCATTTGGTGTGTGAACAAGAAGCATCTTCTAGTGTCACGCGCTGCGCGCTTACTAGTCCCGGTTATTCATTGTACGAGTACCCAGCATTCATCACAAGTATACAGCATTGCAGCATTTTTTATATTCAGCATTCTACGAATGCTGGATATCAAGAAACAAAAACAAGTATATCGTGGATGATTACCTAACTTTATAAACACATCAGCAAATCTCCACTGTGAAGCCTTAAACTTCTGCGCTTAATATATGGAGCTTGGCATAAGTTTGTCTTTCATGAAACTTGACAAACCCATACTCCAGGCTTCAAACGGCATTTTTCTTCAAATATGCCAGTGTAATGCGCGCAAATCCACCAAATATATCCGTTTATACGGCGCAGCGTTCTGTCGATGCCACGTTCAGGATGTCTTCAGTTTTTTCTGTATGCAAGTGCATATCCCGTGCACGCTGCGCAGTGACTAGGTTCGGGCCGACACATTGCTGCAGGAGTGCCTTCATTCTTTTGCAATGGCTCTCTTTAGTTCAAGGATGGTTTGAGCTTACTTTTGTGGCCGACCTCCCCTGGCTGCAAGTACGTCGACTACGAGTACGCCCGCCTCCGCAGACCACATCGTCGTCCAGAACACTGCGCTGGACGACCGCCACACCCGCGCGAGGCACACGCTCGCAGCACTCACCAACAGCAGAAGCCTCATGTTGCGCTGAGGCCGGTGCGCTCCTAATCCACGTCCCACTCGCTCGCCGTAGCCGGCAAGAATGAATGCCAGCTGCCAGCCGGCCAACCTGCCGAACCCCGCTGCCGCCAGGGGAATTCCAGTCGCCCTCCGGCCATCCACCGCCCCGCACCGATACCGGTAGAGATGCAAGATTTTCGACAATCCTGGCGACGGCATCGTGCCACTGCCAAAGCAGGCGTACAGGTATCGGCGTTCATTCTGCCGAGGTTGGCTGCTACCGTCGCTGGCGCCAGTTTCTGATGCATGCAGCACAGGACAGAATCGCTTGCGATGGCCGAAGTCGCCGCGCTGCTAGCTCAGCAACGCCGCGGTCGGGTACGCCACAAGGATTTACGCCTTGGAGATCAGCCTGTGATCTGGGAGGGGGGCAAACTGGTGCAGTCGCGGCGTATCCTGGAGGGGAAGGGGTGTCAGCGGGGCTAGATGCGCCTGCACAGGCTTGGGAAGTGAATACAACTCATGTTTGGCTCTTTCATATTTCACAAGGCTTGGGGGTCCCGCGAAATTCCAGCACTCGAATTCCCCGGGGCCGCGTGTAGCTCTAGACCGAGCAAATGTGTCGACACTACCACTGCTCTTCGGGATAACTTTGTTTTCGCGGTTAGTCGTCCGGGAGATGATGTCAAAGGCTTTCAGAACATAATGAGGCTTTTGGGCTAAATGAAATGGGCCCCGGGACGAGCTGGGCCTAATGAGACGTTCAAAATACCCTGCGATAGCAAACGAGCCCCGCAACCTCTAAGATACCTTGCTCTCGGGAGGCCTAAAACGGTCAGAAGCCCAAGGAGCCCCACGACAGCAGTTGTTTGCAAGATGGCGAAGAGCCCTGGTGAGCCCCCGATGAACCCTAGCCGGACAGCGCCTGGGATATTAGGCCACTTGCGACCACTGCGGGGGCTATTTTTACCCCCTGCTGCCTTGGGAGCGATATAAATGTAATAAGGCACAATAGGGCCAATAATATATGCCAAAATAAGATAAATAAATATATGTAATAAGGCACGATAAGGCCAATAAGGCACAAAATCGAAGTACCGGGAGTCGGTTGACAGCTGTGGCCTAAGTGCTGACGTGATTTGCGCAAAAACGCCTTCGAAATTCTCGAACTTTTTGAAATACTTATGACTCGCCAGCAGCCGCAGTTAATTTTGCACAGCTTTGCAACTGGAACCAAACGAAAGAGCGTATTCTTGTGGGTCGTAACCAAACCCTGGGTGTTTACAGAAGTCAAGGCTCAAACTCATGTCAGGTCAGCAGTAGGTCGGAGGCCTTTAACTTTCGCAGTTCTATTGTATTTAGCATGGACTTAGTTTAGCAAAATAAGTTGGGGGAGGACTGTACAGTGAAAAATTACGAAACCTACCGGCAGCATGAGTCAATAACCAGGTTTCGGCTTTCGGTCGATCCACTTAATACGTTACACCCCTGATATTTATGGTTGCATCGCTAGCCGTACGATATATGCTGCACTGTGTTCTTTACTCCTCCCGGTCTTATAAATTAAAGCAGTCACTGCTTTAGAAATGCGAGCGTCATATTGACCCGTTTGGCAAAATGGGCAACAGCATATCAAAAGATAGAGATGCGACGATGTCATACAAATACTGACAAACAGCAATGAAATCAATATCATTTTTCACCTCCGCAAGGGCGTTGTCTCACAGCATAAGTAAGTGAACTGAGCAGGGAAAGTGGATTAACCTGCTCCCAAAAAATCGCTAAAACGGGTTTCTTTCCAGATATTGTCCACTTTCCTCTCACACTTGGAGGAAAATGGGGGTGGGGGGGGGGGGGGCTACGAGTCCGTCCCGATTCAATGAAAATTGTACCACTGTCTAGAGGCTACAAAACCGCAACACTGCAACCTATAGTAATGCCATTTTGCGGCACTATTGAGAACTGTTCTCCTAAAAAAAATGGTAACATAAACAGCCGTTTCTTAATGGATCTGCTGCGTTGTATGTTTAAAAAGGGCGATATTCCAGCGGGTCGAAACCTCTTAAATATCTTCTGCCCCCCCCCCCCATCCCCACCTCCGTGAGATGGGCTGGACATCGAAAATGGTCAGGCACTCAATAGAAGAAGACTTACCTGAGACGCGTAAGGTGCCACGAACACAGTCGCGCACGTCTCATTCAACGTGTGATGAAGTCAAGCTTTTTTGGCTTTTTGGAGTGTTATATGATACAAGCAAAATAAAAACAGAAGCAAGGTTGTCTTAGATATTTCATAGCAAAGAAGTGATGTGGTGGTCCAAAACCACTGAAAGCAGACAAGATGTATGACTAACATCATGCCAGTTGTGGATGATAGGTTTTGACCCTGGGTGAAGTTTTATATCTTTTTGGAACGCCTCAATAATGGTTCGTCATTATCTGCCCCAAATTACCAAACGGTCTAAAAAATACATCAAGAAGCGGTAACAGCTTTTATGTTCTTATGCAGAAAATCCGGTCTCCTGTAAGCTATCAAGAAGTCTGTGAAGTTCCTGTGACGTCTCTCACGTCTCGTAGACGACAAAAAAACCGAAAATGGTTTTCGAAAACTAAAAAGCGGGTGCGTGCAATCGAGTCTCAAAAGGTTATGAGATGGCTGCTTGAATCGGTAGAGCTAAATATAGCGTAAACAAACGTAAATGAATAAATGTTTATGAAGGCATTCAGGGCACCTGCAATTATAAGAAGGCGCTGAAGGGAAGGGGAGCATTAAAAAATACCCGGTGCCTACAATTCGGGTACGCTGACAGCGATCAGTTGCTCTGGGATCAAACGTGTTATCTTTTTTAGACAAGCCGTTGAAACAATAAAATTGCCGTGATGGCCAGAGAGTCACGCAAGTCCTCAGGATAGCCCGGTCATCTTGCCGCTCCCTTCCCCTCCCCACCCAACGACTGGAGTCGCTCCTGGCTTCAGAACTGCCTGCCCTGATTTCGTGTCAGCTCCTGGAAGTGTACTATAAGACGTTGCATCTCCAAAAGCCCGTTCATCCAAACGATCAGTTGGCAGCCTCTTAATTTTGCGCTCAGCGCTTTAGGATCCCTCTGAGCGCACTTACGCAGGGATGCCTCTCACAGACGCTTTGGGGCTCAGGCGCCGTTACCAGTTTGTATCTCAACATAAGGTTCATGGCGAAACATGACGACTTGTGTGACGACTCCACTTGACAAAACTGACGTAATATAGCTCAAATTCATCTCTCCCAGCCCCAGTCATTCCCGTACAGAGGCGCTCCCTGGTTTCAACCTATCGCGTCTGGATTTGTTTATAAAGATATGTGGCACGGGGAGACAAGAATGGTTAGAGCAAGGCATTCTTTGAAGATTCCCATGCTGTTTTGAATCATGAAGAAATGGAAGGTTTTCCATCAGAGGGAAATTACCAGCTGATTAGCTGATTGGTAGAAATGCATTGCCATGCAGCTTTCTCTGTTTGTTTTTGCGCTGCTTGGCTGCAGCCTTCGTGTTTATAATTGAGCCCCGTGACATTTATCATTCTCCCTACTGTCCTCTCGGCACCGGCGACGCCAGTTCCGACTGCTGTCTGATACAGTCATGGCATTCGTGTTGTTTTTCCCATCTTGCTTTTCCTCGCTTACGTTTTGGGCGTATGTCATCCCTGCTTGACTTTCAGCATTCTGAGAACGGAGCGGCAAAGCTGGTTTTCCTCCAAAATGAGTGGTTCGTTGAATCCCTCGTGCTATGCAAAATGATGCCATGATTGACACCGTGGGCCCATTTGTAGTCTTATTTGTTTCTGTATTGTTGCTTGACATACGAGGACCATCGCCTCGCGCGCCGTACGGGGAGAGTAGGGAGAGGTGTATCTGTTTTTACCCTGAGTTCCCTTCTGCTACAATTAGTGAGGATAGGACTTTGATTCGTATATATACCGACAGCTATAACCTTCAGCTCCATATGTAGCGGTGAAGTTTTGGAGATCACGTCTTCGTTTTTCGTTAAATGACTTTTCAATGCCTTCGTTCAAGATGAGACTGCTCGTTCCACCCGGTGGTAAATTGCATCGCATGGTGGAAGTTGTTTGTATGTTTGTCTTTTTATCATAGAGTGAGTTGTATCGCGAGCAAGCTGAATGCGTTATGCGTAGATCAAACGTGTTTGTCTGTGGTATTTCGTAATAGTCGTGATTGCGACATGACAATTTTTGCCCTTTTATCAATCCATGCTTGTTTTACGCCTACAGCCACCTCGGTCTCGGTTGCTCAGGTATAAATTTTATGTTTGTATTGATAATGTAAATGTTGGTTTGTTTGCTGGATGACAATAAGTCATGGAAATCATGTCAGTGACTCATTTACAGTAAGTCAGTCAATGGCATATTGTTGTACTCATTGTATCACTGATAAATTCCCATGCACAGCTGATACGCATGTGGCGCCAGACATCTTGGAGGAAAGTTCGCGCCACCCCGAACTCCTCGACCGGCAGACGTCAAACGTTTTGCAGCATACAAGACACATGTACCTCCCCACCACTCGGGCTGCATTTCGATCAATCTAGTTATGCCATAACCCTCAAGCACACAGCTACACTGATCGCTACAGTTTTCCACGATGTGCAAAGTACTTGTCGCGTGCATCCCAAGACGTGTGCACGTATGCGGCCGGAAGTACGTTGAAAGGTGGAAGGACCTGCCATGCTTCAGCTGGGTGGCTCAAGGCTGTCATCCGTCGCATATATTTGGAATTAATCACCCTGCTACCGCTTGGACCTGATGCAACTCATGCCACTCCTGTCCATTTACAGCAGTACGTAGCATCTCATGAGGCATTATGATTCATATTATTGTTATTAAGTATTTTTTTATTGGTGTCAGCACGCGTAGCATTAGCCTACCAAACACCATTATCTGAGCTCTCCCCAGATTTCGGCCTGTTACATTTGAGTTTTCGATGTCAAGGACGATTTTTTGTTATCGGACTGCGACACGCTTAACTTGGTTTTCATCTGTGAGCTCCCCCTCCCCCCCGACTTTAAAACCCTGCATGCGCCCCTGTTTGGC